ATGAATAGAGCTGCAACAAACATACATGTGCAGGTATCTTTTTTGTAGAATGATTTTAGTTCCTCTGGGTATATTCCCAATATGGAATTGCTGGGTCATCTGGAAGATCAATTTCTAGTTCTTTCAGAAATCACCACACTGTCTTCCAAAGAGGTTGCACACTTTAGATTCCCACCAGCAGTGTAGAAGCGTTCCTTTTTCTCCACATCCTCCTCAGCATCTGTTGTTGTTTGTTTTATTAATGATGACCATTCTTACTGGGGTTAGGTGGTATTGCAGTGTGGTTTTGATTTGCATTTCTCTGATGATGAGTGAGGCTGAGCACTTTTTCATGTGTCTGTTGCAACTTTGCCTATCTTTTAAAGAGAAATAAAATTCTAAGTGTTAATGATATCTTGTCTCATCTGTTTTTTTCCTTTTGTTGCATGTGCTTTTGATATTATACTGAAAAAACCAGTGCCTAGTCTAAGATTTACACGTTTTCTTCTGAGTGTTTTATTGTTTTAGCTTTTACATATAGGCCTTTGCTTCATTTTGAATTGATTTTTGTATTCTTTTCATGTGGACATCTCATCCCATTACCACTTGTTAAAAAGACTGTTCTTTCCCTCACTGAATTATCTCAGCCCCCTGATTGATAAAGGAACCACTTATCAGGCAAGTTTTTTGTTTGATGACTTTTTCCAGATTAAGATTGGTGTTATTTTTGGTCAAAGGATAGTTTATTTATAGGCAGCTGCATTACAAATGTATCTTTTACTATGTTTGCATGGAAGAATTCCCTTTCATAGAACAAAGCATGGTAGAGCATATTTGGATGAAGAAACGGTATGTGTGTGTGTGTGTGTGTGTCTCCAAGTGGAACTAGGGCACTAAATTAGGTTTCTCCCTCAACCAGTGCTTCTTACACTTTCATGTGCATTTGAATTTCCTGATGATCCTGTTAAAATGCAGACTCTCATTTTCTAGGTCTGGAATGGAGCCTGAGATTCTGCATTTCTAACAAGCTCCCAGAATTGCGGATGCTGCCTCTTCAAGGGCCATACTCTGAATAATAGCACAAGAAAGACTGTCTAGCATGAGCTTGTTATTCAGAGCTGTTATATCTACTTATTAAAAGTGATTTGGAAGGGAAATGATATAGTTTGGCAGTTTGGTTGTTTGTCTCCTAAAATCTCACGTTGAAATGTGATCCTCAGTGTTGGAGGTGGGCTAGTGGGAGGTGAATGGGTTATGTGGGTGGATCCCTCATGAATGGCTTGGTGCTGTTCTAGTAATTGGTAATTGTGTGTTCTTGCTCTGTTAGTGCATGCGAGTGCTGGTTGTTTAAAAGAGCCTGGCACTTCATTCTCTCTCTCTAGCTTTCTCACTTACCATGTGACACACCTGCTCCCCCTTTGCCTTCTGCCATGATTGTAAGCTTCCTGAGGCCTCATCAAAAGCAGATGCCTCACTGTAAGCCAAATAAACCTCTTTTCTTTACAAATTACCCAGCCTCAGGTATTCCTGTATAGCAACACAAAACAGACTGATATAGAAAATAAACATGACTTATTTTAAATTTTTAAAAAAATTTGTATTTTATTTGATAAACATCAAGATGAAAAACCACCATCTAGAAAAATAGAATAAAGATTTCCTCCCACGGCCTTTTTGCCAGTCTTGATTATTTTCTGTTTTCCTTCTAGGCCTCTGATGATTGTCACTCAGAAGATCACAACCTTGGCATTCCAAGTTCATGATGGTGAGAAAAGTGACCTTCCTTTTGATTCTCAGAGTGAACTTGATTTTCAGAGCTCTTCCTTTTATAATATATACACAGTCCAGAGTTTACACGTGTGCTGGCAGATCTGGGTTTATCTTGTTCAAAATTTCCAGGCCTCTTCAATCATAGCCTTTTACTTTCCCAGCTATTATTCACCACTTCCTTGCTGAATCTGCAGTCGAAATTTGCTGAAGTATTTGTACTGAGAACAGTGGGTTTTCTGTTTATCTTTATAGTATTTTAAATTTAAGTTTATTTGTGACACACTCTGTCATTCATTTTCAAAAGAAAAATGGGATCTTTTTTGCTTTGGCTTAATCTCTAAGAAGCCCATAAGGTAATAAGAGATTAAATAGCACTGGCTGGTTAATCATTTTTTAGTGCTAGGTTTTTTTTTTTTTGTTTGCTTTTTTTTTTTTCCTTAGAAAATTATCTAATGAGATTAGCCTGACCTTAAAAGCTGGGAGAAGGAAGAATCTTCTGCTAGCATAAAATGGAACATTTCTTTTTTCACTCAGGCTCTTCCTAAAAATGACCGGAAAGTGTGATTTATACTATTCAAACTGGGTTCCAGGGAAGGGAGGAAGATTATTTCAGCCGGGTAGATTTCAATATGGGCTTTAGAGATGCCAGGTGCAATTAGTAAAATTATATTCTGTGGATTTGTATTGCTTTGGCAAGCACTTTTTAAGTGTTGACATTTCTTTGTGTGTTGAAAGGTTGAGATTTATCTCTGACAGCTAGTTTTTTTTGTTTTTCCTTAAAGCTTAAAGAACTGATTTAATTTCATTTGACCCAGTGTATTCTTAGTTCTTACTTGGTGATTTAGTCATTCTGTAGAGAACTGAGTAATTTTATACCAAGGATGGAGTCTTTCTAGGGTAACCAACTGTCCTGGTTTGCCCAGGACTGAGGAGGTTTCACAGAATGTAACTTTCCATGCCAGAATCAGAGAATCCTAAGCAAACCAGGGTGAGATGGTCACTCTATTTGTAACTATAACTCCACTTGGTAGTGATTATAGACTAACATTAGCAATATAAACCAAGAGCTAAAATCAGTTTAATTTCTGGCATTGCCAGATATGAATTATTTGATGAGACTCATAGAAAAAAATAAAAATGTTTAAATACTACTTCTCATTTTTTTAAACAGATTTTTTTTTTTGGCCTAAATTTGCCTCTTTAAGCATTCACAATTTGCCATATTTTCTCGAACATTCCTTACATGCAGTAAAATGTTTATTTACTTTTTTCCTTTTATTCTTCTGGGTGGGAGGAAAAAGTGAATTCCAGAAATACTCCTCCTTCTTTTGGGCATGGTTGGTGCCTATAATCAGCCTTAGCTGCATATCCAGTTTTAGAATTGATTTATATTGCTTGTAAGACAACACATAGGTTTCTTTGACGCTGTTAACATGCAAATTTCGTTGGAAGCACAAACATACTTTGTTTGGGAGTTTTTCTACTATGGGTGAATGAGTGTTAAAAAGAAGAAACCTCTGATAATTCCTTTGTGTCTTTCCTGCATTTGGGGTCATATTTCCTCTGATTTGTTGGAAGAGGAAAGTCCCCTATACCTTTTCCCTTTGCATCCTGTACCCAAGCTCCTCTTCACTTGTACCAGGTATCTGTACCCAGCATAATTAGAGAGGTATTTAAACCCAGACAGCTTGCAGAAGGCAAGCTTATCTCTCTAATGTATCCATGAAGACATACATAAAGTGGCAAGGAACTACCATATGTAGCAATGGGGAGGGTTCTCTGGGGTCCATGTCACACTATTTGAATTAAATAGGAATAACCTCTAAATTCTTCCTTCTCCATAAGAACCTCTGGAGACTTTCCTTCTCTCTCATATACTTATAGGTCTCTCTTTTTTTCCAGGATGTTTTTTAAAAATGGAAAAAAGGGACTCTATGATTTGTGAAGCAAAAGTAAATTACCGCTTTCAAATGACTTTGGTAAAACTCTGTTAGAATTAGTTATCTACTTCTTCAAACATCTTATTGCTCATTTTATTTTTCATAGGGTTAGGTCGAAGAGCTGAAGACCTCTCTGCTGCACAACATCGACTTGCTGTAAAGTAAGTTAAATTTAACAATATATTCTTCCACCCTTTACATATCAGCATCTAGAGATTTCCCTCATTTTTAAAATGTCTTCACATTAATTCCATTATATGAATATGATATAGTTTATTTAACAAATCTGCTGTTGATGCACTTCCATTGTTTACCAGACTTTGACTTTTACAATTGGTTAAGTGATGAATAACCTGGTACATTTTTAGATATGTTTGGGCATAGCTGTGGGATAGAGTTCCAGAGGTGGAATTGCTGGGTCAAAGGGTAAATGGATCTGTAATTTTGATAGTTCTGCAAGATTCTCCTTCACTGGAGTTGTTGTCTACTCCAGAATTATTTTTATTGGGCTTGTGTCTTGGAGGTCTTCAAGAAATGGTTAATGACCAATGCATGTCAGTGTGATTAAGTGCCAATGTGAGAAAAGACAGAAGTAGGGCAGGAGAGGTAAGTATGGGCTGAGACACATATAGAAGGAAGACTGCAGGTGGGCTTTGTCAGTGCTGATGTGCAGTAGGAAGGGGGTAGGTGCTGGGGAGGGAGGGGAGCTATCTAAGGTGGGAGGAGAAAAACATTTATCTGAGTGTGGGGTGGCATGTCGAGTGCAGCCTTGGCGGGGTTCCTGCTACAGAGTAACAGACCGCTGGGGTAGGTGAGGAGGGTCCCAAGTGGCAGAGAAGATTGAGTTCTTTGTCCCTTCATTAAGGAATTTGGACTTGGAGGTAGTGGAGCACCACTGGAAGATTCTAGCATACTAATTCTTTGCTAAGCATTATGGAGGTATAAATGCTATAGGGTATAATTATGGTGACTGGTTAGCAATGGCATTTCAGGTGGCAGAGGAGATTGGGTTCTCCATTCCCCACTCTTCTATCCTGCTAGGAGAACAGGCCTCCCCAAACTCCATAAAAGCACTATTCAGAACTGTCCTCTGCAGAGGTCTTCCCCTGCTACTATCCTGTTCTGTTGTTCGGAATCTCAGACCTGGGCCAAAGCAGACAAGAGACTGTTGCAAGCGTAGTTTTGTATAGCCTCTTCAAGTGGAAACAGGTTCCACCCATCATTTGTTTTGTATTTATTTTGGCATGCAGGAGGGAGTTTTCCCATTTCAAAGCATCTCGATCAGCTAACATTAGGTCAGTTTCCCACCCTGCCTTATTGTTTATTACCTTCATTTTGTCTTGTGGGCAGATATGGGGTGATAAGAACTGAACAATTCCCAGCTTCAGAGTTGCTTTTTGCACTAGACCCCACCCTTAGTGTTTGCAGCATTGTGCAGACAGCAGAGGGCACCATAGAGCTCTGCGCCTTCTCTGGGCCACCTGCCTCGTTAACTGTTCCTTTCTGCAAGATTCCTCTTAGGCTGATTTTATACAAACAAAACATGGAAAAGTCATGCCACACATCATATCTACAAAGATAGCACCTTGTGATTTGCTTATTTGCAAATTCTGAAGAAAAAGCAAAGACTGAAGATTTTTCAACTCTTTTTCTTTGTTTCTCTTCACAGAGTGAAACCCTCTTTTTTGGAGTACTTGAGCTACCTTCTCAATTTCATGAGTGTCATAGCTGGCCCTTGTAACAATTTCAAGGACTACATAGCCTTCATTGAGGGGAGACATACACATATGAAGTTGCTGGACATGAACTGGAAGCAAAAAGGTTTCCACAGTTTGCCAGAACCTTCTCCCACTGTAAGTGTTTAGTGTCCAGACAATAGAGTTTGCTGCCTGGGCTGACTCTTACTGGTAGTTATTCTAATTAAGAAGTCAAACAGTTTACCAGAAAGCTTGTCTAATAACCTTTTTTTCTCATTTGTTTAAAATACCAGTATTGTTATTTATTTACAGCAGTTCTGTGTTGGGGAAATGGTGTTTATTTTAGAGAGAAGCTCATTGACTGGAATATTAAAATTTTGTCAGTCTGTTAGTTGATATTTTGTGCATACAACGTGCTCTGGACTGTTGGAGTTAACACATTTGAATACTGTGGGTGTCCTGTCTTTATGAATTGAAATTTAAATACAGTCAAAAGATAATATGTCATAAAAGGAGGTGGGAGCATGAGGTGGGGACCAGAATTAATTTTTATTGGAGAGCCTGCTTATTATAAATGAAATCAGTTTTATACTGGCATGCCAAAGGTTGACCTTGAGAAAGTTTAGGATGACTTTTTAAAATAATATTTTAATTTTAACCCAAATTTTATCAATCTTATATTAGTCAATATTAGGATGACTTATTGAACTTTATAAATATACTCAATTTATTCAGATCTCTAATATCTTATATTTAAGAGAAATTTGTAATTAACTGAAAAATAGTTAAAATTGGAAAAGGAAAGAATAATTTGAGTTAAATATTTGGTGTTAAAGTCTAGGCAAAATTTGAGTTAAGTGTTTAAAATTTACATGATTTATTCATTAGGCATGCACTTTGGGGTAGTTTTGACACAAGTAGATTTTCAGCACTTTATGGCTGGTCAAACATCTCAGCTTTATATTCTTTATTAAAACAATCCAGGAGTGAAGTCACCATGGCTGTGAGATATAAAAGTAACCCTGTGTGTTTCTGGGCATTGTCTGTCATCGTAGTGCTTTTGTGTTTCACATGCTTTTATTCAGCAAATAATGTTATCAGAGAGTCTTAACCTCACTCTCCAAGGAGACGCTTATATTTTTATGCATGGAGAAGGTGAAGTGGCGAGACTGTGTTTTGGTTCAAGACATACTGGTGGAAGGGGCTGCATATGTGAGCTGGTATACCCAACTGGTATAGTTATAATCGTGGCTGAGGGTGGTAAGCACTTAACTGTTCACAGGACCTTGTAAATATTTTTTTGCTTAAGCCCAAGTCACCCCCTGAGAGAAGTGCTATTGCTATGCCCATATTACTAATGAAAGTAGTCTATTTTTATAAAGTTGAACACTGTGGTTCTGTTGACTGTTGAAGGACATTCCCTGGAATGTCAAGGAAACTGGGCAAAATCACTCTGTCCAGAGGAATTTTTAAAGTCAGCACATCTTAACCCCAGAGCAGGCTACATCGAAACCATTCTGGAGGGCTCTCTAAAGCTCTCCATTACCTGCCCATGTCCTGACTCAGAAATTCAATTGCGAGCACAGAATTTTTTGTGCCTGAGCCTCTGTCCTCCTCATTGGTGACACAAGTGCATTTCCAGGACTCTGCTGGCTACAGAGTGGAAGGCAAATGGTTATGTTTTCCTGATGGAAAGTTGCCACCCTATAATGTTGTCCATTTCTCCTATGTTCTGGATAATAAAACTACCAATTTTATTGGTAGAAAGTATTGATAGAGATTTTCTTCCCTCCTAGATACATTCAACCCTCAAGTGTCAGAGGTATATTCTGTGCCTAAATGTGGCACCTAATCCCCATCCTCAGATTTGTGTCATGAGGAAGAATGCCTGCTGCCACTCCTTCTAGGGAATAATGCCAAAGCAGCTTTCAGAACCCTGTGGTTTTTAACATGCCCTTGCTAAAACTGTCTCCCTCATACTTAAGTCTTCTAACTGGTTATGCTAATTTTTCCTTTTATTCAGGGAGCTGTTATATACAAGTTGTGTGTCACCTTGGTGTCTCTTCTGTTGTTTTTGACACTCACGAAGACCTTCCCCATCACCTGCCTTGTTGATGATTGGTTTGTCCATAAAGCAAACTTTCTGACTCGACTCTGCTACTTATATGTTGTCATGCAAGCCTCAAAGCCCAAATATTACTTTGCATGGACATTGGGTAAGTTTGATGGAGTGGCCCTAAATAAATGAGGAAAAAATGATACTCCTTAGACGACTTAGCCAGAACAACTCTTTGGATCACCTAATCAGAAAAAGTTCAATATGTAATAAGTCAGTTGAGCCAGTGTTGGTTTCACTTTCCAACCTAGCACTTCTCTCTTCTACCCTCCATAAACTCCTGGCTATGATAAGGGGAAAAGAAACCAATATCCTGACTGTTGTTTAAACCCAATGTTATTAACAGATGTCAAAACTTGGAAGCTCCTCCTTCCAATCAAACTTGGAAGCAGTGGAAAGCTAAAGAAAAATCCAGAATAATCTCTCTTTCTTGTGATTTTTCTGGGTTTTACGTAATACAAGATGCAGTTTTACTAACACACATGCAAATTTAGATTATACTTTAAGTAACTGTTGGTTAAGCTTTATGTTTTAGAAAGAAGTTGACTTCAAGTGTTTTTTTTTAGAAAGTTCAACTTCCTTTGGTTCTATCGCTCTTTTTTTTTTCCTGTGAGGTAACTTGGTCAATATTAAACTTTTATCTTTTTTCCTCTCAAACAATTTTAGGCTGGAGTTATTTAAAACTTTACTAAAGTGAACAGTTAACCTTTCTACATACTTACCCAAACTGGGCAAGTATGCTGATCAGACATAGCAGATATGTCTATCTCCCACTTGGGACTTTTTCAGAATAGAAGCTCAGCATCTTAGCTGCAGGTGACCTGGGACTCGATGTTGATGTCAGGAAGCAGTGACTTGGCTTATTAAGTCTAATAGGTTACTAAACTCTGTTCCAAGTGTTTAGCCTGTGTCCCATGAATGAGGGATTAACGATAATTGATTAAGTTCCTCTTTTTCTCAGTTCATGCTTCAAGTTTTAAGCTCCAAATTAAAGTTTGCAGGTACAGAGTTACTTTTTAAAATTTTATTGTGGTAATATATATATATCTCATAAAATTTACCATTTTAATCATTTTAAGAGCACAATTAGCAGTATTAAGTTCATTCACATTGTGATGCCGCCATCATCACCACCCATCTCTAGAACTTTTTCATCACCCCAAACAGAAACTCTATACCCATTAAATAATAACTCCTTGTTCTGCCTGCCTTCCTGAACTAAATTATTTTTAAGGGCCTAGATGTTTCGGTACAAGTTCCGTCCAGTGTTGTATTTATATAATATTTGGCCAGAGAGATATAACTTAAAGGTTTTCTAAAATTTTCAATGTGGGACATTTTGTTTCTGGGCACTTTCAATTTGATTCAAAGAGATTTTTTTGAGTACCAGGTTCTGTGCTATGAGAAATTCAAAGGTGAGTAAGCAAGACATCTTCTCTTGCCGAAGGTTGGTTGTTGCACTCTGTGGAAACACAGACATGTACAACCACCAGCTAGTATGCATCCAGCACCATCCCCATGGTAGGAATACAGAGGAAGTGATCAATATGGACTGGTCATTGGGGTCACCTTCAAAAATCTTCTTTTACTTTATTCCTTGTTCTGTAGCTACTTTATTATTTTAAACTGATGATTTCTTTAGTAGCAGGTATTAAGCCTACTATGGTTAGAACCCTACTGTGGAACATCTGGCGTAGTTTTTCTATGTGAAATAATGAATGTTTTAAATTTCTTGTAACCTGAGTGTGTGGGGGGGGCAGAGAAAGGGAGGAGGGGTAACAAGGGAGGGAGGAGGAGGGGGGTAGCAAGAGAGGAAGGGAGAGAGGGTGAGACAGAGAGAGAGAAGAAGACACACACACACACACACACACACACACACACACACACACACACGGACAGAGACAGAGACAGAGACAGAGAGAGAAAATAAATTTCACTCCCTTCTACTGTCATCTCCTTTCTGTCCTAGCCTCCTTTTCCCTTCCCTTCTCCCTTTCCTTCCCCTCTCATCTTTTGAATCCCAAGGCTTAAGGGCTGGCTTCTAGACTACATCAGCTACTGATATAAGGAGGAAAGTCTGAGGCGAGGTGGGCTGTGCCCTTGGGTCGTGGGCAGGGAGGGGTTACAAGGAACAGAAGGTGTCTTCATTCTGCCTTCTCAGGAGTCCCCCGGTCACCTGGGGTCCAGTATGGAAGTAACCCTCTCTGTGGTGAACTTTGTGGATTTAGCTCTTTTTCTTTTCCTCCCTTCCTTCCCTTATCTTTATCTTTTTAGGGTAACTTTAGTAGAAACACTTCATTAATTTGTATGGCCTCAATTTGAAATTTGTTGCAGTTTAGACTGCATGGGCTGGTCTGAAATTAACCTTTGTCTTATTTATGAATATGAAGCAATGAATAGCGTATCGGGGAATATTTAAACTGCTTTATCAAATCATTGTTTTCTGGGGCTCTTTAAAACACCATTTACATATAATTGATGTACTAATTATACATGATTATAAATTTAATCCTTAAAACTGACCTCTGGATGAATCCGCTGAGCTGTACCTTGTTAACCTAGATCTAGTTACTGTTTATATTGAAATCATAAAACTATTTCTTTTGGACTTAGCATACAATCCTGTTCTCTCCCTACTAATTAGTATTAATCAGTGAGATTTAACTTTAGTCCAGGCTATGTTCTGAGGACCACAAAGTCCAACATATGGTGTCCAAATGAATTTATCTGTGATAATAGGTAAGAGCCATACTTAATGCAAGTAAAGCCAAATTTGGACAGTAAACTTAGAGCCTCAAACTGCTCTGAGACAAAAGCAAGGCTTGGATAAATACTGCAGGATCACTAAGCAGATTGAGGATCCTGTTTTCATTTCAGTGTGACGGTTCTGAGAGTCAGTACTTGGGGCTCTTCACCATTTGACTTTCAGAATGGCACTTACTCGCTCAGGTTGTGGAACTGGAGTTCTAGCATTCAGATTCTGGTGGTGTTTACAGCCTGCAAGAACTTCATGTTTACCTAGCATCTTTAGCCCCAGTCCCCTTTATAGCCA